CTCCCCCCAAATTAAGGCCTATATTAAAACATGCAAAATGGGGGGGGGAATGGTGGGGGGGCTTGCCGTTAGGAAGTACTTTTGTTGCACACCTGGATATGGTGCTGCCTGCATTGACCCCGATACGAAGTGCCCCACCAACACCGAGGTCAACATCCAAGCCGTCGCCGCCTGCCCGAAGATGCAAGGGGGGGTGGAATTAAGTCACCCCCGAAAAGACGGCCTAGCCATTTTGGGGAGGGCTCAAAAAAGAATAAGACCCGGCCTTATTATGTGAGAAACACGGTACTAGGAAACAGCCAATATAAATTGTAAGGATACAAGTGACAAAGTTACAGTCATACAGTCACAAGTGGGAGGGGAAGGGTGATAAGGAGTGATGAGAAGGTTAATAGTAATAGTAATGCAGACTTTGTAAATAGTTGGACAGTGTTGAGGGGATTATTTGTTTAGCAGAGTGATGGCGTTCGGGGAAAAACTGTCCTTGTGTCTAGTTGTTCTGGTGTGCAGGGCTCCATAGCGTCGTTTTGAGGGAAGGAGTTGAAACAATTTATGTCCGGGATGTGAGGAGTGTGTAGATATTTTCACAGCCCTCTTTTTGACTCGTGAAGAATACAAGTCCTCCATGGAAGGCAGGTTGGTAGCCATTGTTTTTTCTGCAGTCCTAATTACCCTCTGAAGTCTGTGCCTGTCCTGTTGGGTTGCAGAACCAAACCAGACGGTTATAGAGGTGCATGTTCCAGGATAATGTCGCAGGATCGTATCTGGATCGGTCACCGGCACCTTCTCTGATCTTTCGGATGCGTACTGGATCCCACCTTTAGGAAACTTCTCTCGAGCAAAGCGTGAGCTCTTCCGTGTGCGGTGTTTCTAGTTCCTCTTGTATGGTGGCTTTTCAACTCTTGCTTCCTCGCTTGTGTTTTTGAGAGTCCCAAACTCATCGATAGCCTCACACTGCAAACGGACAAGGATGCACGCTCAGTTTTGCAACTGCTGTGGGGGTTGGACAAGCAGGCGCAAAAACAGCCCGAGAAGTGATTGAAGCCTGGGAAACAGGCCCCTCATCAAACAACGGGAGGGCTGGTTTACCGTCAGGCTGCCAAGTACTTGGAAGGCGAGGGCTGGGCAGCACAAACCAATGATAGCTTGTCCCTTAAAATCCAGCCACCCACACACCACAATCACCATTTAAGAACAGACACCATACAAACGCCGCATACAGAACAGCTCTGCTAGAGAGAAATTCCCTGAAGATGGACCCTAGTACGAGTCCAAAAGCTCGGAGGACAAAACCTCTGTTTTCAGTGTTGTGGGTATATACCAAATTGTGTGTTTATTTATTCAAAACGAGGATAAAAGTTATTCTCTCCTCTCCTCTTGCAGAACTTTGACATGTTCATCAGTCACTACAGCAGCGTCAGGACCCCTCCCTGTGTGCACGTTTACAAGCTCAGCGGCTCAGACGAAGACCCCCTCCACAAGCAGCCAAAGTTTTGGGCCAGCATGATGGAAGCAGCCAGTGAGTCAAATTTGGGCCAGGCGTCCCGAATTGAAGCCGCGGGGATCGAGGTTGGGTGTCCACACGCAGGCGGCCAAGCTTCGCTTTGTGGTCTTAGGGCCAGCTTCTCTGTGGAACTCAGGGGGTGGGGTGGGGTGGGGATTTGGGATTGTCTGGTTCTGCCCCACCCTTTCTACTCGATGGACATTAATGATTTAATTTATGAAATTAGATTAATATGAATATATGTATATTGCTGCCCAACTGACGCATTGGTGACTGGGTGGCTTGCAGCCTTTAAAAATTCACCACATAAAAACCCCCTCTCTCCCCCTCTCTCTCTCTCTCTCTCCCTCTCTCTCCCTCCCTCTCTCCCTCTCTCCTTTTCCATCACTCTCCCTGTCTCTTTCTCTCTCTCTTGCTTTCTCTCTCCCTCTCCCCCTTCCTCCTCCTTTTTCTCTCGGTCTCCCATTCTTTGTTTCCTTCCTCCTCATCACTCTCACTCTCTGTCCCTTTCTCTCTCTATTTCTCCATCGCTCTCTCTCTCTCTCTTCCTCCTCCTCTCTCTTTCTCTCCCACTCTCTTTGTCTCCTTCTCCATCACTCTTTCACTCTTTGTCTCTTTCTTTCTCTCCCTCTCTCTTTCTCTCTCCCTCTCTTTCTCCATCATACTCCCTCTCTCTCTCTCTTCCTCCTTTTTCTCTCTGCCTCCCACTCTCTTTGCCTCCTTCTCCATCAATCTCTCACTCTCACTGCCTCTTTCTCTCTCTCTCTCTACCTCTCTCTCCATCACTCCCACTCTTTCTCTCTCCTTTTTCTCTCTGTGTCTCTCTGTCTTCCGTTCTTTCTCTCTTGTCTCTCTCTCTCTCACACAAACACACACTTGTGACAGCAACAACACAAATCAACCACTCAACGGCCTCCGTCTCATTGGCCCCCTAGCAAAGCCACGGTTTTAGAGCCTTAACAGAAAAGCCAGAGGATGGAGACCCCAACCCTCGTTCAGGGGAAATGACATTCCATAGAGAAGGGGCCACCGCCAAGAAGGGCCCTTTTGCGCGCCAGCACTATAGGCAGTCCTCGACTTAGCGACCAGAATGGAGCCCCACATTTTTCTTGCTAGCGGGGAAACATTTGTCGAGTGAGTTTCGCCTCGTTTTACGATCTTTTGTGCCGCAGTTGCGAAGCGAATCGCCACAGTTAGGAAGTTCAGTCCCGTGGTCGTGAAGTGGATCTGGCTTTCCCCATCGACGTTGCTTGCCACAAGGTCGCAAAAGGGGGAAATCACGCGAGGATGGCCAAGTGTGACCCCCCCCCCCGCTCTGCTTCCCCGTGTTTTGCAGGCTGTCCTGCGGATTACATCCCCCCCGAAATCTTTCATTTCCACACCCCGTCGGATGTCGAGCTTTACGGGATGGTGTACAAGCCACATGACCTCCAACCTGGGAAGAAGCATCCCACGGTGCTCTTTGTTTACGGTGGGCCTCAGGTGAGCGAGATTCTCAAGTCATCCAAGTTCTGGTTGTCCTAAAGGTGCTTTTTTCCCCCCCTTTTTCTTTTATATATAAATAACCTTTATTGAAAAGTTAAAACATTAAAACACAAATTACAATACGAATATTTAAAATGAAGGGGTTGCGTATATTACAATCAATTTTGACAGTGCTTACATTTCAATTGTTCTTCCAGTGCATATTTTATACTCCCAATTGTTCTTATATATTTATATACATCTATCTTTCTAAATTATACATTCCTTATTTATTTAATTGCTTGTTTCTATTATTTATCCAGCGATACCACTTTTCCCAAACTGTATAATAATCTGAGTCTTCCTGCTCTTTTAATTCTAATGTAAGTTTGTCCATTTCCGCGCAATCGAAAATCTTTTGGATAATTAAACTATCTTTTTTTTTCCCAAATTTTTTTTTATTGATTTTTAAAAAACCAACATAAACAAACAAAACACGAAAACATAAAACATCTTTTTTGAAAGCGGCTTGATCCCGGGATAATTAAACTATCTGTTGGCATAGAATCTCCTTTCCAACATTGTGCAAGTGCTAATCTCGCTGCTGATATTATATGCAGGATTAGATATTTTATCTCTTTTGCATAATTCTCTTTGATAATTCCCCAGAGAAGTATTTCTGCTTTAAATTCTATTTGGACTTTCGTAATTCCCTTTAACCATTTTCATTTTTTTGGTCCGATATTTCTTAATTTTTGGACCTAGCCACCATACATGAAAGAAGGTGCACCCTGTGACTGCTTACATTTCCAACAATTTGGGCTTCAATTAGGATACATTTTAGCCAATCTCGAAGGGGCTAGATACCACCGGTAGCACCTCAAATATGCTTTTTTTTCAAGAGGCAACTGGGCTTTCTGTTTTTGTTTTTTTTTCCTTCGAAGATGTTTCCCTTCTTATTCGAGAAGCTTCTTCCTGATTCTTTGCAGGCAGCTGGTCATTTGCATTCTTTTAGAGCAGGGGTCCCCAACCACTGGGCCCTGGACCGGTACCGGTCCGTGGAACATTTTCTACCGGGCCACCGGTTTGCTGGGCGCCGCCATCTTGTTTTGACGAGAAAGTGCTTCCGGGTGAGCTTTTCCGGTTGGAAAGCGGCGTTTGGGTCCTGAAGGAATCCTCGCGCCTTAGTTTCATCGAAGGGGGGGGGGCGGCTTCGAACGAAACTAAGGCGCGAGGATTCTTTCAGCACCCAAGGCAAGGCGAGCCGAGCGACCGTCCCGAAGCCCATCGACAAGGGTACAAAGGAGGAGTTGAAGGTGGCAGGGAGAAGCGGGGGACGGCTGGCCGGCCGGTCGCTCGGCTCGCCTTGCCTTGTCATGCGTCCTGATGCTGGTACCGGGCCGCGGATCATTTTGTGATGCCGGTAGCGGGCCGTGGCACAAAAAAGGTTGGGGGCCACTGTTTTAGAGCACAGATGTCAAACTTGATTTCACGGAGGGCCACATTAAAGTTGTGGCCAGGGTGGGCATGGTCATCATGACCTCGCTCATGTTGGGGGCGCCTGTGCTGGGCCGAATGCTCTGCCACAAAAATGGGCTCCAACCGTCGTCCAACGTGGCCCCCTCAAATTCCCTCATTGCCGGCAGAGGGCTGCAGGAGGCCATCACGGCTGACAACGAAGCGTGGGAGGACTGCACACAGCCTTCCAGAACTCCCATGTTTGTTGCATATTACATGAACTGGAATAGAGTTTAGTAACCAGGTCAGCCAATGAGAGCTGAGTTGAGGGCTGAAACTTAAAGAGAGAATCTAGGCTTGGTTTCTCTCTCTTCTGTGCTCAGCTCTAAAAGGAAAGAGAGACTTCACTTGCTTGCTTGTCTGCCGGACTAAAGTGAAACTGAGGTCCGTTTCTGGGGTTCCTGCTCTGAACCTGTAACATGTCTGCTTCTGTTTGAGTTTGCTCCGTGTTGGAGAAATCTACAACGGGTATTGTAAAATTGACTTGTGTTTATGCAGAAGTTAACTGAAGCCTCAGCCACCTGCGTTCATTTTTCCGGCACTGAATTTACGCTGCCATAACTTTGAACAAGAGCCACCGCAGGCCGATCCTGGGCCGTTTCCAGGGCGGCCTCGCAGGCCAAATCTAAGCACCCCGCAGGCCGGATCCGGCCCACGGACCTTGAGTTTGACACCCCTGTTTTAGAGAGTCATTGAGGCCACTTCGAAGTGGACCCGAGTTAGGATACAGGTCAACTCCCAAGTGGCCTCAACGACTCTCTCAAAAGAGGCAAATGACCAGCTGTCTGCAAGGAGTATCCATTCTTCCATTTTCCCAACATCCAGTCCGAGTTGAAGAAGCTTCTCGGCTGAGAAGCAAAACCTCTTCAAAGTAAAAACAGCTGCCTCTTGAAAAAAGCACCTTTGGGATTCTACCTTGGCAACATTTTCAATATCCCTCAAAGAGCTGGTTCCCTTAACAGACGGGGGCCTTATTTCTCCTCCTTTGCTCGTCTCGTAGGTCCAACTAGTGAATAATTCCTTCAAAGGGATCAAGTACCTGCGGCTGAACACGCTGGCGTCCCTCGGCTACGCCGTGGTGGTGATAGACGGACGAGGCTCATGCCAGAGAGGCCTTAAGTTTGAGGGAGCTCTTAAGAATCAGATGGTAAGTTCTCTCCTTGCCTCCGTCCTGTGGATCTGGCCTCCGTTTTGCAATTCCGACAGGGTAAAATATTATATCGGCCTAGGTTATATTATCCAGAGGTGGTATTCAGCCGGTTCGGACCGGTTCTGGAGAACCGGTAGCGGAAATTTTGAGTTGTTCGGAGAACCGGCGAATCCCACCTCTGACTGGCCCCGCCCCCATCTATCCTCCGCCTCCCGTTGAGTCCCAGCTGATTGGCTGGGTCTCCTTTGGTTGCCTTGCAGAGGAGAACGGAGCTGGAAAGCAGGTTAGTGGGGTGGGGAGGGAAGGGGGATTTTTACGGTAACCTTCCCCTGCCACGCCCAGCAAGCCACGCCCAGCAAGTGAAGCCACGCCCACAAAACCGGTACTAAAAAAAAGAAATCTTGAATCCCACCACTGATACTAGCCTATTGATATATCCTCGTCGCGTTCTTTTCCATTGTTTATTTTATCCTCTTGCAAGGAGTCCTCGGTTTACGGCCGCAATCGAGTCCAACCCTTGTGTGTTGTTAAGCGAGGCATTTGTTCCCTTGAGGTTTGCCCCCTTTTACGATTTTACTTGCCAGAGTTGTTCAGTGAATCCTTGTCGTTCTTAGCAACACAGTCGTTAAAACGAAGCAGGGTGTCCCTGTTGATTTTCGTGGTCGGAAGGTCGCAACGGGGGAATCACGTGGCCTTGGGACACAGCAACCGTCATAAGTACAAACCCTTTGCAAAGCATCTGAAGGTTGATCACATGATCGTGGTCACATGGTTTGAGTGGTGGCCTGGAGGTGGATCTCTCGCCTCACAATCAGGAGGCTGTGAGTTCGATCCTAGGTAGGAGGCAGGTATTTCCCTCTCTGGACACAATGAGAATATCTATATCTGCTGAATATAACTCTGCATTGGTGACAGGAAGGGCATCCGGCCAGTAAACACTCCATTCAGCTGCCGCGACTCCGCCCCACAAGGGATTACGGTGTCGTTAAAAGACTATAATGATGAAAAATGGGACTTACGATCATTTTTCAAACTTTTCAAAGATTGTTATGACATCCCCATGGTCACACGATCATCATTCCGATGCTTGGCACCTGACTCACATTTATGACGGTCACAGGGTTGCGGGGTCACACGATCCTCGTTTAAAACCTTCTAACAAGCAAAGCCAACGGGGAAAGCCAGATTCAATTAACAGTCGTGTTAACTAACTGTTCTGACCCAAACCTTGTTCCAAGGAAGCAAACGCCAAACGGAGGTAACAGCAAAATGTTTTAATTCTTTATGAATTCCATTTCTTCCCCGTCAAAAGGCTGTTTCCAATGAATTGTCTCTGATAAGAACGAACCTTGCCAAGGTTGTCCGAGGCTGCCAAGAACACTAAATAAAGTTGCCAAGAAATATTTCAAACCCAGAGAATCTCCAAGCACCAACCAAGATATTCCAAACGTCCACAAGGCTTGAGTGCAAAAACTTCTTTGCTTCCTGCAAAGAACTCCGGTGTCTCAGCTGGCTTTTATCTCCTCAGGGAGGGGCCATCACCTTGCAGCCTTACTCCTGAGTCGCCTGTGCTGCTTGCAGCTGCTCTTTCCTTTGAGCAGCCCTCTGCGCATGCATGCTGGGTATAGGCTCCTCGGGGTCCTCTTCCTCATTGCTACCAGCCTCCACAATCTCCGAAGGCAGCACTCCACTCCCTGATGGTCCTGGTCCCATCCCTGCATCACATGCAGACCCCCTCACCCGAGTCCTCGCTCTCCGAGACCTCAGCCATCCACACCTGCTGCCGGCGAACCACAACACTTAACTGAACTGCAGAGGTTCACTTAACGGTAGCAGGAAAAGTCATAAAACAGGGCAAGACTCCCTTAAGAACAAAGTTTCCGCCTTCCTTAACAACAACAGAAACGTTGGGCCCAATTGTGGTCGTAAGCCAAGGACCACCTGTATAGGGTTTCCTGCTTTGAGAAAAGGGAGGCTGGACTAGAAGACCTCCCAAGGTCCCCCTTCCAACCTTTGATTAATTTTTTTTTCCCCTTTTTCTCTGCAATCCCCCTTTCAGGGCCAGGTGGAGATCGAGGATCAGGTGGAAGGTTTACATTACGTCGCGGAGAAATACGGGTTCGTCGACCTCAGCCGCGTGGCCATCCATGGCTGGTCGTACGGAGGTTTCCTTTCCCTGGTGGGGCTCATTTACAAGCCCCATGTTTTCAAGGTGAGCCTTGCTGCCTGGCTGGGACCCGCCGAAAAACTAAAAGGTCTGCCCGACTCTAGAGGGGGGTGGGGCCTACACATCTCCTTTTGCTAGCCGAAGGAGCCAGTGTTGTCCGTAGATGCATTCGTGGTCATGGGACTGGCATGGCTGTATGCTGAGGGCGCCTGGAACACTGTTACCTTGCCATCAAAGGGATACCTGTTTATCTACTCACATTTTGTATCCTATATATGTGTGTGTGTGTGAGTGGTGTCTAAAATAAAACTAAAAATTGGGGTGGGGTGTGCGGGGGATTCTGCCTCTGCCTACCAGCACCCATCTGTATTCATCTGGCTAGTGTCCGGTCAGTGTGTGAGAGAGTTGAGGGCTGTTTGGAAACAGAAGCGATTATTTGCTGTGTGAGCAAGAAGGAGACAGCAAGGAGCCTAGGCGTGGCTTAGCTCAACTGTACTAAAGCTGCTTGGTGCTGTGAAACTAAGACTGAAACCGAAACTCCTCGGCTTGTGTTTTGCATTTGGAAGAGATTTCTTTTCAGGTGGGGAGGGGGAGTAGAACGCTTTAGCATCAGAGCGTGTTAATAATAATAATAATAATAATAATAATAATAATAATAATAATAATAATAATAATAATAATA